ACAGAGTTTTTTCCATGAAGTTTATCAACACTAGGTTATTCCCCAAATGCATGTTCAACAGCAGAGCTACGGGTAAAAGCAGGCAGGGAACACAGACAGCTAAGCTGCACTAAATTTTAGAATCAATAAGGCTGTCATGTCATGCACTTGCATCACTTCAATGATGATGGAAGCAGGAAAATGTGCTCTAAAACCACCTGAGAAGCACATTTAGATTTCCTAAGACATATGAGATATTAAGCCTTTGCATAATACACTTATTTAGCAAAACTTCAAAGCCTTAAGTCATCCTATAAAGGATCTGCAAAGTGGTAGTGTACATCTTTGTGATGCATTTATTGTAATGACAGCATCACAACTCTTCTAGGAAGATAGAAGTAATTTCTACTTCAAATGCAAGAACAGATTATATAGACAGGCAATTTTTTTTCTGGTATTTTCCACAGTTATGCAAGTCAAAAGCAACTAATTCCTCTGGTGGCGTAAGTAAGCAAAAACAAGTCACATCAGCAGCGCTTTATCCACTTACAACGAGAGAATTTGGCCCAGATATTTCTGAAGCAGAGTCTTCCATAAGTGACTAAGGAGCTTTCATAGCTTTTCTTCCACCTCTGGAATCTGTAAGTGTTGACCTCAGTCTAATCAGATTGAAGCCTTCAATTCAGGATCTAAACCAAGATCACCGCCACCGTTAGACTATGGCACGTATGTGGCTCTCTCTTATGGCCCAGCCTGACCTGAGAGCTCTTCCTCCAGGCTCCAGGCTGCTGGAATGCTGCCTTCCCATCGGCCTTCCCACACTCTTGGGAAGATTTCATGCATTGGGTGATCTCCCCCTACACCCTGCAAAGACTTTCTACAACTCTCTGCCTAGTTACAACTACAGCCATTCAAAGAACGGCTAAAAGCCTTTCTCCCCTGACCTGTATCGCTTTGCTCTCCTTTGATTATTTAACTTTAACTGAATAGTTTAGCTCTGCTACTTCTACTTAGAACACAGGCCAAATGACCAACTCCGTGCTATATCAATATATATTGTACTGCGTGATTCACTGGAGATGAACTTGAAGGAACTAAATTCATTTTTCTTGTTTAACATTCATAAAATAACTACACTACTGAAAAAAAATCCAGTCAAGAGTGAAGCCTTATCAGCTGGCATGCAAACAGACGCTTGTGATTGAACATAAGAAAAACCCTTTTCACTGAGAGGGTGGTCACAATCTGGAATTTCAAGCTGTGCCTTGCTTCCTTGACTTTAGCTGGAACACGCTGGCATCCTGCTCGCAGACTCCGTTCATCTCTCAGACAACATAACCTCCCTTGTGCAGAAGGCCGTCTCTCATGTAGCAGCCACGATGGAATAAACGACTGTTTCCCATAACCCAGTCTTTCTGGGAAAGAACATTCTCATTTAAAACAAAACAAAAAAAGGTTTAAATGAATATTTAAAGTAGTTTGAGGTGACAAGGACAGCCTGATGGCTAGTCATGGTCTATGCAAATTCTCCCTGGGAGCATGCTGTTCTACTGGAGCGTATTCCTCAAAGACAGTAACTTCCAGCACACATAGTCTTTCAGAGAAATACTCTGGAAATCCATAAAAAGATAGTTACACTCTCTAAATGCAACTTCAAGAGGAGCTGTCGTGCTCTTTCAGCAAGGAACATTCTTAATGTTTTGTCTTCAGGTCTAGGCTTAAGAATAGCATTTGGAGGGCATTGAAAATGAAGACGACAGCAGCACCAATTGGCTGTAGCTTTGAGGACTTCAGCATTAACTTTTGCTCAGACTTCGTTGCTATTGCTGCGCCCTAAACCATTATTCCTAACAATAGGATGTGCTCTTACATCTGAAGTCCAATTTTCTGGTTGCTGATCTATACGGATACAAGAACCATTGGACCCCAGGAAGAGAACGCCAGCTACCCCGATTCAGCAACATCAAGCTGCAGCAACACCAGGCTATTTGCATCTTCTAAGACTCTCCATGAAGCAAGACCAGAACCATTAGTTCCTCTATGTGTTATGGAACGTTTCCCGGCCAGGTTACTGAGCTAGCAAGGGAAGGCACCATCCACTTCTGAAGGAAGGAAGAGCACACCGATTAAGCCTGAGGCAGGAGCGACCAGAAAGCAAGGGTCTGCGTTGAGTTACTGGCACTTACCAGCTTGTCACTAAAGTGATAATAGTTGCTCGCTTACTCTCTTCATTTCAATTACGCTTCCCCTATCCTAGCATCAATTTGTTCTCTTACTCTCTCCACATCTAGCTCTGTCCTGCCCTCAGAAGCAGGGAAGTCATAGGAGCCCCAGCTATCCCTCCTTCCAGAATTAAAGTGCCATTTGGGCAGAGGTCAGACCTGCTTTCCTAGAAGTCTATCTATTTCAAGGTTCACTTCCTAACAAATCAATTCTGCTTCCCCTTCACAGCCAGGCTTGGAGAGAATGAGCGAGGAGAGGCCAAAACGTGCCTGGATCCAACATCTGATCGTGGATGCCATCCTCCCTCCCAACACACGTGCTGCCCTACCCACGGACCTGCTGCAGCCAGGTGCTCTTTGGGAAGGGAAGGCATTCCAGCAGCTGCCTCCAAGACCTCCCATTCCAGTACCTTAGAACTCACGTTACTGCTTTGCTATTTGTGACAGGCACTCGAGCTCCCTTGTTTCCTCGACCTATTTTAATCAGAACTATGCAGTGCCACTAGTTATCAGCTTAAAAATCAGGGCACTACAAAATGGTTGGGATTTTTCTCAGCAGCTGAAGAGAATGATTTTGCAGAGTAGCTTAACTGGAAGCAACACCAAGTGCCAGCAAGCCATCTGTTCTAACCTCTGTGTTAAAGTTAACAGCTATTTTGGATTTCCACAAAGGAAGTAAGCTAAAGCTATTCATGTTTGGGTTTTTTTCATCTCCCTTCCAAGGAGTCTAAGCACCCACTGTTTTTATTAAATGGAACAGAAACAACAGTAACTGGAGATCCCCGAACAAGGGGCAGAAAACAAAAGCCAGGGACACAAGCAGCACAGTGTTGCGTAGCGATGCCATCCAGTCACCTCTCTCCTGACACAGACGTCAATCCAGACGTCTCCCAGCTTGTCAGAACCTGCCACCCGGGCAAGGCGGGCGTCACGACGAGCACACGCAGTGACTGCCTGCAGACTGAGGCCGTACTGAACCATCCAACACAGCCCCCTGCACATCTGGGCCACTGGTATATTTTTGAGATGAAGTATCAGTTAGCCTGTCTGCGCTCAGGACTAATTCTAGGGATGGATACAATACTTTAAGACATCAGTTTAACAGGGAGGGTGGGAAGGGAAAGGCAGTATCAAGTAATTTTATTCAAAAAAAGAAAAAAAGTAAGTGACAGTATTTTCTACTTCTAACTAAAAAGACTACGAGATTTTTTTAAGTGGCTCTTCAGTATCTTCTTGGCAGCTTTAACTCCTTCTCTTTAACTAACTTACACCTTTTTCTCCTCTGCATCTTCCCTTTCATGAAGGGGCAGTCTCCCAAACCAAGCAGCTTGACACTAGATTTGATCCCAGTCTGATTCAAAGATTTATTTCCAGCATTGACGCAGCTGAAGTCTCTCGAGACTTCTGTCCACAGGCACATTTGTCTTCTGGCATCAGATGATGTCAGGTACTGCCACTTGGATTCTTCTCTTGAGATTTTGACCAAAAGGCTGCACTCAAAAGTTCTGGTGCTACCCTAAGATAAGTTTTATCTCAGTCTCATGAAATCCTCTTCCTTCTAAGCTCAGAGCCTAGAAGGAAAGGATTCTTACAGCCAACACATTTGAACTGAGAGTACGGTTTTGTTAGTGCTCCATGACTGACCCTGCATTTCTTGCTTGTACTCCTTTAGTGACCGAAAGATGTGCTGTCACCACAAGGGTCAGCTGCTTTCACCTCTGGGGAGACCTCATTCTCAGCAGGTATGGACCTGAACTTGGGTCAGAACAGTGTTCAATGAAGTGACAATGGTGCCAGTACAAGTATGCTTGGTGCGATTCCAGTTATGATATACGTGTGGCCTAAAATCAGTTGATCTACAAACTAGAATTAGAGGAGCTTAGTTAGAATCTGAGTGGTCCAAAAAAAACATGACAGAGGGTACATGTTTGACACACATCAAAGCACGACTCTAACCCAGCTCCAGCCAAACCAAATCACCACGCGGTGAACAGCATACAGCATCTATCATCACGATCAACAGAAAGAAAGGGCAGCAGCAACCTCTTCTCCATCTATCACTAGAAGGAAATATCCACAGCAATATCCGTACAGCGTCCTCAAGAGACATCTGCATCTATTTCTGACAACCATAAATCAGATTCCTTCATTTCAAGGGAAATATGAATTCTTGAATGAACAGGTCATCACCTTAATTCTTTTCCAAAGCTGCATTAAAACACTAATCCCAATTCTGTCTATGTTAAAATGGATATTACTATGAAATAATGATAGGAAGGAGTAAGCCAGCAAAGGCAGGGAAATTAAGTGATAATTGATGCTGAAACAGCATCACACCACGAAGCCTTTAGTCCTGAACCTGATCTTAGCTATGCTTATGAATAAGAATCATCAATAAAACTTGCAGACTTCTTTGAAGAGGCACATCAGCTCGATATTTCAATATTTTATAGTGTCTAGCTGTTTCTGGAGGTAGACGCAACTTCTAATTGCACATCTGTCAGAAGCAAGACAGAACTTTCCCCGGGCTCCAGCGCCAGCTCCACCTTACTCCCCCATCCCAAGCTCCTTCCTCAAAGGGGTTTCCACCCGTCCCGCTGCACAAATTTGGGCATGCTACACCAACTCCAGCAGCACCCTTCTGCATTGATCTTTTCATAGCAAGATGAAGGAATTCAACACCCCACCAAATAAAAAACCACACAAACAAACCACCAAACAGTGAAGACAAGCAACCCGAAGACGGGCAAGCATTCAGCTCAGCTGAGGATGACGGCAACCACCACATCCTGTCCCGAGATGGAAATGGAGGGTGGGGGTTTCACACCCCAGCTCTTCATAACCATTAATCTCTTTGAGCAACGCCTCGCTGCCACGCAGCCAACTCGGTTGTTGAGGCCTGTGGACAGGTACTTTGTAGATACGCGTAGGAAAAACCAGCGGCGCGACCTGCGACGCCAGCCAGCCCGTGGAGACCTGGCGCTGAGCATCAACGTCGTGTCAGGTC